TGGCTGCTGTCTCCCTGCCAAAGTTCAAGCTGCGCTGGGTAAAGAAGAAGCCAGAAGAGACCACATCAAGTTCCTCTCACAACGGAGTGCCGCGCCCTAACAACAGAAGAGCCTACAGCCCTGATGCCCGATGCCCTCAACCTGCTGCTACCAGCGAGGATGACTTTTTTTCCTTTGATGTACAGCCCAATGCCACGGCTGATGTGCCCATGTCAGTGGAAACAGAGGTAAGTAGGCTATGGAAAGGTCCAGGCCATAAGTGCCTTTATAGTTCAGTTAATTTTACCAGCCTTCTTTGGCTGTATGCTACCTCTGTTGTATAGGCTATTTGACTGTAACAGGTTTCCTGTTTAGCCTTCATTTTTTATTTTCAATTTTCTTATGTGTGTTTGATTTATTTTTAGTATTCTTGAAAAATGTGATCATCAGCTAGAGTTCTAGCTATAAGTTATTTTAAATTTTACCAGCCTTTGTTTGGTAGCCTATGTATTAGCCACTTCTTGGCAAATTGGCCTTTGTTTTATTGATAAGCAGTTGATAAGCAACTCAAAAGTAGTGTAACGTATTACAATTCAGAGACAGAAATATTGTAATGTAACTAATTACTTTTAAATGACAGTAACTACTAATATATAATGTGTTACATTTTGGAAGTAACTTGCCTAACACTGCCCAGCAATCATCACAGCATATTTGGATATGACGAAAATATCAAATGAAATATTAAATTATTCATTTAATGGAATTGTTTTATATAGTCTGTTTAGTTTATGTAGAATAAGAACATCATTTTGTTCTAGACTGTGACTGACTATAACACTCAAAGAGAAAACCATGATGGAGATCGGTCTGCCTCTTCAAGTCACTATATAGTGAATGGCACCATTGAATTGTTAACATGTGCTTCTCTGGACTCAAATGTATCTCTGACAAAACGGTTTAATTAACATTCATGAAGTCAGAATCTAGAGGGGGTCCACTCCTCTTCCTCCTCCAGGTTCTTCAAACTGGTTTGTGTATGTTTAGTGTTTTCCTCACACCAACAGCTCTCTGCACTCATTCTTATGATGCATTCATCACTGATCTACCTGACAGTGTTTTTTAAGTTTACAGTTTTGTTAAATGTATCACTCGCTTCATGTCCCCTATTTTTTTTTAAAGCAGGATCTGCCGTCATTTCCTGTTGTGTGTTTTTACTCCACTAGATGTCACAGTGGTTGAAGCAGCCGTGAGGTGAGCGCGTCACCATGATATTCCTGCACTTACTCTGACTAACCAAAGGGTGGTGCTCTTTCTCCTTAATGAGTCCTGTCAGCATCAGCAGCAAACACAGACATCTTCCATCTGATCAAGAATTCGTTTTCAATTTGAGTTTCTCTGAGGTCTGCATTCTGTCAAATAAAAAAATGAAGTTTATTTGTGACTTTATGCCTCTGGACTCTCTTCTGTTACACCTCTATCTCAGTGGAAAACTTCTTGCAGACTCAGCGAGAATTGAAATCCAGCAGAGGGAGGGAGAGGAGTCGATGAGTTCATACAGCAGCAGATATGTTTCTGTTCTCAGAGGTTATCAGGACTTATAAAACAATAGATGATCAAACACAGCAGACGAGCTCTGTGGGTTTCCTCTTTGCAGCCTCCTCCTCACCGTTATCTGAGGTTTTTCACATTAATAACACAACGACAGTTACAACCTTTGAATGTGGTTTAATAATTGTTCCAGGAACTTTAGTTTGTGCTGAAAACTTTCTCATGTCTAATCGTTGGTATTAATCTGTGAGAGAAAAACTGTTTTATAATGAACTCGGAAACTGAGACACTGATAATGTGAAACTTCTCTAATAAGCTCTGATACTTTTCAAAAATAAGATCACATTTAATCTTTAATGGAGTGAGCTGTTGGTGTAAAAATAAACAGAAGAGAAGGAGGTAGGAGGAGGGGAAAAAAGAAGAAGAAGAATGACATTAAAAATAAGAAATCTTAACAATAATAATAAAAAAATGTATATCCACTTTAAAATATTTAGCTGATAATTACTGAAACCTGATGTAAGTCAGGACTTCTCATTTCCAAGATGTTTAAAAGGAACGATAACAGCAGACAGTATTGTCCCGTCTACATGGGTCTTCATTTTGATTTCTTTTATACAACTACAAAAAAAGTCAAATGAGCCGTTAATTTAAAAGAAAAAACCCAAGATGTTTTTGTTTTTTTTAAGTACATTTTCTAGAAACACAACTGGTTTATTGTGTGAGATTATAAAGGCACTAATGTCCACCATAAGAAAAGCATACGATGCTACTGTTTGGATCAGGCCTGCAGTCACTGACCTCTATAATCACATTTAAAATCTAAAGAGATATTCTGAGTTTCATAGTGAACTTACTTTATAATCTCAAGAACTCTGAGTTTGTCTTTGGAAATGTTCCCTTTTCTGTTTTTTGTTTGTTTTAGAATGGCTCTGATACGCCGTCGTACTTTTCTGCTGTCATGTGTGAAGCTCTTTGTTCTCCTTGTTTGAAAAGAGCTACACGAATAGAGTCATAATTATATTTTTGTATTATGCACACGAGGTACCCTCCTTTTTTTGCATTACTTTGCGTTGCATTAGAATCATTCATCTTACATCTAAATGTAAACTGAAGCCATCGCTGTCACTTTTTGACACCCAATAAAACTGATTGAAATGCGATGAAATGAAGAAGGTCAGAGTCGAACCCAGGCCGCCGGCCTCGAGGGAAATAGCCCTTTACATGGTTCTTAACCACTGGGCTACGCAGCAGCATGCACTGAAAACTAATAAAGTATAAAGTCGGGCTCAGAAGGTAAAGAGAAGTCTTTGTTCAGGATTCATTTTAAATCAAAACATTGTGTTGTTAATTATAGAAACGACACAACAATGTATATTATTTTTTATAATTTTATTATTTTTATTGCATTTACTTTAAAAAAAAATAAAAAAATTATAGGCGCACTGTGAACTAGCTAAAATATAAAATCACTATATTTTAAATACATGAGATCTTTAGTAACTTCTGCCTAAATTTGTGATTCTGTATTGATTTGTTAAAAACATTTTACTGTAATTTAGCAGAAAAAAAGCAATCTATGTAAAGTCCCTACCAAAACAAAAATATTTTAAATCCTCCATAAACGAGAAAATAAAATAAGAAAAGCACACAGCATGTTTTGTGTATCTTTCAGCTTCAGCTCTCCACCGATGAAGCTGCTATGTCATGTTTTGTTTCTACATGTAAACAAGAGTATCATCAGCGTAGAGCGCTACATAAAACACTGACACCACCGTTTAAAAGGGTCAACAGTGAACCTGCAGACAAATCAACACACTGAATTTTTACAAGTTTACTTTTCTTTGTGAGCTTTTTGTTCCTGGTCAATGTGTGTGCTTGTATTCATATCTTCCTGTACATTTTATTCTCTGTGGTGTGTGAAACTATAAAGAGAGCTTGTTACAAGAGACTGAGGGCCTGATTAATTAAGAAAGCATCTTAGCCGCTAATAGCTCTAAACATTGCGCATCATTTGCTAAAGTATTATACAAAACAATAACATTTACTGTATATAATATAGGATTTGTTTTACACTGCTGCAAAATGTTGTTTGATCATAATTGCATATATATAGTCATGATTGACATTTTTAAATTCATCTAAGCGATAAAGGAGATACATTTATGAGATGTTCCTGAGGACGGTCAGCAGGAAGAGTCCACAGCAGTACACCAGACTCTTCACTGTCAGCACTGTGTAGAGCAGCAAGAGCAGCTTCACCTTGTATGGAGACGGGACAGAGGGATCCGCTGCAGGTGATGGAACAGAAAAAGAATAAAATCATCAACAACGTCAGTCCTCTGTTTTTCTTTCTTTTAACAGAGTCACTAAATGAAGATGAATCTACGCTGCATAAAGTCACCAAAACCTTCATTACCTGTATCTATCAGAGCCTCCACTGTTCCCCCCTCATGCTGCACGTAGCAGCTGTATTCATAGCTGAACTTTGTCTGATAGATCTGTAAGACGGAGGCAGTACATCCAGACTCTCTGAGCTCCAGCTGCTGTCCGTCAGCAGAGGGCAGCTCCTCTAAACATCCGCTCTCCGTTTGTCGTCTCCAGGAGATTCTGACCACAGGAGGAAACATGGCTGAGGCCAAACACAGCAGGGAGCTCTTCTCCTCCAGCCGGCCTCTGGATGCTGCCGGGTACACGCTCACCACGGGCTTCACCACCTGCTCCTCGTCTTTGAAAGAGAAACAAGTAACACACACACAGTCAGCAGCATTAACGACATTCAGTCTGATCCTAAACCTACATGAACTCTGGTCTCTAAAACACTCATGACTACAGCTCAGTAAAAATTAAGACACATTAATCATATCATCTCTATTATGGTAAATACATGAATCTGTTTATTAAAATAGCAGGTGTTGTCACAATAACATTTTAAGGTTTAAAACATTTAAGTGAAATTAAATCCATGAAAATAAAAACAAAGTAGGATTATAGCAGCAATAGAATATCATTTTATACTTTGTTATATTTTGTATTTATACATGAAATTATATTTTATCATGCTGTTTATAATTTCATTAAAATATATTTACAACTCTTATCTTTATCGGGGTTTGCATATAATCATGAATTACAAATTAACCTTCAAGAAAACTCTTTAATCATTTTGAATAAATTAAAAAATAAATATGTATGAATATATTTAAAACCATATTGTTTACTCTAATTAATACAGATAAATAAAATCCATACAATAGTTATTTCAGAGTGTTTGTTATTTATTAAATATTCAGTGTTATGTTTTGAAATGTCAAATAAGGTCAAACTTGATTTACAAACTAAAGACAAAGGTTTCATAAATCCCCGAGAAGACATTTAAATAGACGTATGATAACGTGTGATATCAGACAACATATAGTTCAAATGATTGTCTCTGAAAAACAGTTTTTCCTTCTGTATTAAATATATATAATGATATAAATGTGAATCATTTGAGCAAGTTTATTTGTAGATTCACACAGAGAAGAAGTCAACGTGTGATAACAAAGAGTGGGCTCTAGACCTGCTCTTTTTAAAGTGTCTTCAGATAACATTTGTTAGAAATCAGAGCCATACAAAGAAAGATTGATGAGTTGATTCACACAGTTCAAAACAGAGCACTAACAACATGTTCAAGTTTGAGCCCAACAATCATTGGTTTGACTATTTGATCCTTTTTAAAGCGTTTCATTCAAACAAAGTCTTTTTCTTCTAATGTGGCTTTCTAAGTCGTTAAAGATCAGAAACTCTTTGGAGTCGCCTCGTCAGTCGCACTTCTTGTCCTTAAACCTTGTTAGTTATTTTTAATGAACCTCTTATTGAGCCTCCAACTCTTTAAAGTTTACATTTAATATGGCCTTGAACCCTGATTACGTTTAAAATATCATTTAAATATCTGTTTGAAGACACCATCAAATCAAATATAATTATTGTGAGCTTTATTTTACAGGTTTTTATTTCAGGATCATTCAAATGTTCTTTAAGATAAAGATAAGATAAGATATACTTTATTCATCCCAGCAGGGAAATTTAGGTGTTCCAGCAGCCAGCATACATACAAACACACATATATACATACATATCCCACCCATACAAAAAAAAAACATGAGCCCACAATACAGTTTGATATATGATATATGCAACTCAGGCTAAAGTTTAAAAGTTTAAATGTCTTCTGTCCTTACTTAAAGGGGAGTGGTTATAAAGTGCAAAATTTATCGTTTTAATGTCGTTATAAATTTACAACATATGAAACAGAATAAAAGAATACCTTTAACCTTATTTAACTTTACTTATGTGTTGAGATTTCAACATCTTAGAGGTAACATCTTTTCATGTCTCAATAGCTGCACGCCTTAAAAAAAATCTCCTCTTATTATAAAACTTTAATATTTAATGACTCAAACAGCAGAAAGTAATTAAAGTCACATTTCAGACGACTGAAGGAAATCAAAGTTTATTCTTACCTGAAACAAAGAGTCTAGTTCCAGAGCCAAAGATCAAATAACCCCTCTCCACAGTGAAAAGACGTGATACAAAAACCTGTCTGCTGGTGAACTACACAAATCATGAACCAGGATCAAACCTCAAACACATTTCTACTTCAGCGTCTCTTCCTCTTTTTCTTCCTCTCAGAATGTTTCTCCTTTAACGGTGATGTCTGTTGTTTCATTTGTTAAGTCCACAATGTTTGAACTGGAGCTGAAGGATGGATGAATGGACTGGTTTGAAGTGTGGTACAGACCTTCTTGGTCCCCTGAGGAGGAAATAAATGAATTCACTTTGTTGATCGAGCACTGGGGATGAACTGAGCTCTCTGTTCTTTTGCTAGTTTCATTGATGATCTCATGATAGAAAGCTGTGTTCTCACTTCACTTTGCCATCGAGCACACTGATATTAATACAGACTGTCCAGTGTTTATTACCCACGTAGTACAAAATGTAGTTATTTGATCCAGCAGAGTTTTTTCTTATCTCACCACAGCAGAATATTGTTCATTTAGAGACGCTGTAATAGAGATGATGCTGGACCTATAGCTCAGATCAGCAGAATTATGCTTGATTCCTCACATACATTTTCTGAAACACAACATTTTCTGAGACCAGGGGCGTCACTAGGTTTTAAGGACAGGGGAGGCTTAGCCCCCAAGAGATGCAGAGGATGTGAGCGAACGTAGCGCGCAAGCACAAAATTTCACAAACAGCTAACAAAGACTGAGAAATTATTTATTATTATTATTTCAGTCTGTTTTTTGAATACAGTACAAGAACAAACACAGGTTTGCACAGTAACAGTATGTTTACAGCATTAACAATAAAAGTAAGCCAAGTACACCATTTTTAAATAACATGGCTACAACTGCGAGTTACTTAGTGGGTGGAAGCATCAAAGAATGCCGTCTGTTTTTAAGGGTGGCAAATCGGTCTATCACTCTGTTGTGACTCATGCTGAAGCGTGTCTTTTTCAATTGACATGACTGCAAGACTGTTAAGTCTTTTCTGACCCATTGTTTGATGCAGCCAGGAGTGCAGCAGATGCAGTGCACTAAAGGACCTTTCACATGAGCAGCTGCTTACAGGCACTGTTAGGGCAACTTGTATGGTTGCCTTCAGAGAGGGAAACATGTCTGAATCAAGGAGGTTGTGCACAGACAACATATCTTTGGGTGAACATCCAGCCTCTGTTTTCCGGGCAAGAAAGTTTCTGGCCACCAGAACCTCCTCTGTTTTCAGGTCAATGCTGTAGTGTTTTGCAAGTTCATTCAAGTGTGATTCACTCAAGAAGTTCTCACATTTAGGACTGCATGCCTGGATGCCTTTTAGTAGCCCTGCATCTACACTGCAAAATCTTTGCTCAAGCTCGCCAACCATCCTCTCCACACAAGGGAAAAGTAACTCTCTTCTCAATGTGTCTGAGTTGTTCAATTCAGTGCATGAACCTGCAGTTGCCTCCAGCACAAAATCCTCCATTTTCCTCTGTTTATTCCTTGTCTTGGCACCTGGTTCAGGGATACTGTGGGTGTGGCACAGGGCTTTGGTTCTCTCATACAGCTCTGTGGCAAATGCATCTGTGTGTGTGTCACACACTGCTTGTTTGCAGATCAAAGCCTCTACCAGGTCTAAAGTCTCTTTCTGAAGGAGCTTGTGGAGTCCTTCAGTTACAGACAGAAGTGACTGAAACATCAGTAGTGCATAGACTGCTGAGAACTTATAGAGCTTTGCTCTGAGACCAACAGCTATGAGGGATCCAATGGCAGAAAGGCACTCCAAAATGGCAGACAATGTCTCAAGAACTGCACTGATTGAGCGCAACTGACATGCCCAGCGAGTGTTTGAAAGTTGCACAAGCTCAATTGTTGTCAATCCAAGCCTTGTGTGAGCCTCCATGAACTTATGATGACTCACTAGGGAGGTGCTGAAGAAAGAGTACACACACTCCACAAACAGCACAACAGTCAATCATCTCATTCTGGGATGTTGGTGAGATATAATGAGCATTTGATGCACGCAAGAAAATTCCCTCCGTTTGTGCTGTCTCTACCTTCATCATGGCCATGAAAAGGGAGTCCCTGTCTCCTTAACATAGAAGTGACTGCAACAATTCACCTGAGATCAGGCATGGACAGGCCATCGGGCGTACTGGGCAATGCCTGGTGGGCCGGCCCGGGGCTGTCATAATTTAATTAAAAGAGTATATTATTTTTTATCGACCGCGACGGTATTTGAGACACGAAACACGGCCCATTGGTTGATTTTCTTGAAGGACATTGGGCTAGTCCAATGAAATCTCTCAGCCCTCCTCGGCCCGCGCCTCCGCTCCCCTCCCCAAGGTTATCAAATTTTGCCATTAAGCTGACCAGAGTTGGAGAGAAGTGAGTGTGAGTGAGTGTGAAATGGATAAGAAACAACAAAAGGGGGATGCAGACAAGCTCAGAGAAAAAAGGCTAAAAAGCCTACAAGTGGACGCAGCAAAATGTGTCAAAATCACTAATATGTTTGCAAGTTCGACTGCAGCAGTGAATGCAGGGCCGTCGACATGTGCAGAAGCAGTCCCATCGAGTGCACAGGTGGATTCAGAGGAGGAGGAGGAGAGAGACGTGACCCAGCAGCAGCAGGGACAGATTGAGGAGGAGGAGGAGAGAGACGTGACCCAGCAGCAGCAGGGACAGATTGAGGAGGAGGAGGAGAGAGACGTGACCCAGCAGCAGCAGGGACAGATTGAGGAGGAGGAGGAGAGAGACGTGACCCAGCAGCAGCAGGGACAGATTGAGGAGGAGGAGGTCAGAATAGTTTCTGTCAGCCCGGTAAGAAGTAGCCGAAATGTTAGCAGAATGAAAAGAGACGTCTCATGTAGGGAGAGCGGAGGGCTGATGGGAATTGTGGCACTGTGGCCATCTCTCCCAAGATGAAAGTCTCTGTGAGTAGTGAAAGAGCGTATCAATTTTTTGAGATGGTTCCTCTCTTCCATGTAGACTATTGCACTTTATTTGAATTTTTTAAACAACACAATGTGCGCATATATCCTCTGGCAGAGGTGTAGTCTTAGACTTAGACTTAGACTTTCTTTATTGTCATTCAATCTTGTACTTTACAGTGCAGATAAGAACAACATTTTGTTGCATTTGGCTCGTTGTAGTGCTAAAGGATAAAAACAGCAGCAAGTATTTACATAGAAAAATAAGGTGCAGATATAAATAGATATAAAAAGAAAAGCTTTGAGTAAAAGTACTATACAGATAAATATATTGCACGTTTGTGATGTATGTTATATTGTATTTTACAGTCCAGTGAGGTAGTCCTGTGTGGGGGTTTGAGGGGGAATGGAGGGATTCTTTTTTCCTGTTCAAAAGTCTTATGGCCTGTGGGAAGAAGCTGTTACAGAACCTGGAAGTTCTGCTTCGGAGGCTGCGGAACCTCTTTCCAGATTCCAGCAGCGAAAACAGTCCTTGGTGGGGGTGGGAGGTGTCTCTGCTGATTTTCTGAGCCCTGGTCAGACAGCAGATTTTAGCGATCTCCTGGATGGGAGGAAGTGGAGTCTTAATGATTTTTTCTGCCGTCCTCACCACTCTCTGCAGGGACTTCCAGTCGGAGGCACTGCAGGCTCCGGACCAGACAGAGATGCAGTTTGTTATGATGCTCTCTATAGTGCCTCTGTAAAAGGTGGTGAGAATAGGAGGAGGGAGGTGTGCCGCAGAAAGTGCATGCGCTGCTGCGCTCTTTTCACAAGAGCTCCGGTGTGAAGGGACCAGGTCAGAGTGTCAGTTATCTGCACCCCCAGGAACTTTGTGCTGCTTACTCTCTCCACTGCTGTGCTGTTGATGAGGAGTGGTGTGTGGCTGGGCTGGCGCCTCCTGAAGTCGACGATGATCTCTTTGGTTTTATCGACGTTCAGGGTCAGGTTGTTGGTTCTGCACCAGTCAACCAGATGTTTCACCTCCTCTCTGTAGTCCATGTCGTTGTTATCACGGATGAGGCCCACTACTGTTGTGTCGTCTGCAAACTTCACGATGTGGTTAGTAGTGGTCCTGGCGCAGCAGTCATGGGTCATCAGGGTGAACAGCAGCGGACTCAGGACGCAGCCTGAGGGGAGCCGGTGCTCAGGGAGATGACACTGGAGGTGTTGTTACCCCCGCACAGACTGGGCTCTGTTTGTGAGGAAGTCAAGCAGCCAGTTACATAGGGGGGTGCTGAAACCAAGGGGGGCCAGTTTGCTCACCAGATGCTGCGGGATGATTGTATTGAACGCTGAGCTGAAGTCCAGAAAAACATCCGCACATGTGTGTCTTCTCTTCCAGATGTTGTAAGCCCAGGTGGAGTGCAGAGGAGATGGCATCCTCTGTGGAGCGGTTAGCAAACTGGTACGGGTCGAATGTGGGGGGAAGTCTGGAGACAATGTGGTCCTTTACCAGCCTCTCAAAGCACTTCATCATAATGGGGGTTAGTGCTACAGGGTGGTAGTCATTGAGTGAGCAGATTGTGGATTTTTTAGGCACTGGTATAATTGTAGCAGTCTTTAAACATGATGGTACCACAGCCTGGATCAGCGAGGTGTTGAAGATGTCTGTGAGAACCCCAGCCAGCTGGTCAGCACATTCCTTAAGCACCCGTCCCGGTATGTGGTCAGGGCCCGCTGCTTTCCGGTGTTCACTCTCCTCAGGGTTCTCCGGACATCAGCTGTGTCCAGGCTGATTGGCTGCTCATCGGAGCGAGGAATAGATTTCCTCGCTGGAGTGGTGTTGAGTGCCTCAAACCTTGCAAAGTAGTTGTTGAGGTCGTTGAGGTCGTTGATGTTGTTGTCACAGGGGGGAGGAGTAGCTTTATGTCTGTGATGACTTGTATGCCTGCCACATTCGTCTGGTGTTCGTGGGTCCTTGAAGAAGTCCTGCACTTTCTGACTGTGAGCACGCTTTGCAACTTTTATGGCACGGTTCAGGTTGGATGTGGCTGTTTTTAGTGCCACATGTCGCCAGATCGCATATATCTCTGGCAGAGGTGTAAGAGTACTATATATTCTACTCAAGTAAAAGTACTGTTACTTTGATAAAATTACAAGTAAA